GATTCCCTGCACCAGGCAGCGAGAGGCTAGGCAGGATGCGGAAGACCGTTTTAGAGGATGGCAGTGTGGATGGTTCCAGGTCACATGCTAGTGGCTGCTGGCGACGGAATGCTGCAGACCGAAAACCTCAGCCCTGACGGGCATAGCCCTCACGCTCTGCTGTTTCCTGGGTCATGAAGACTGAAAATGTCATCGACTCAGACTCGAGCGATAGGGGATCAGCTCTCCTTTATCTTCATGTGGCTCTCCGGGCTTTGATTGTGGATTTAAGGATTAAGGAATCCTGGCCTTTGAAATAACCCCATCTCAGAAGAAGGAGGGCCTTGGGACTTTTCCCAGTGTTCACCGTTCACTCTCCCCTCCCTGATTCCAAGTGACTTGATGTTATGTGATAGCTCATTTCATTGGTCCCAGTAAATCACAGAAGAAATCGAGACTTGAAAAATTGGGGTGCCGGCCTAGGTGTTATTATTTATGAACTATGTGGAGCAAGCTGCCCAGGGGGAACATTGGGGTTCCATGCTAGTCTCGGAGTTCCTAATCAGCAGCCTTTGAATTGGGGCGGGGGGCAAGGGTATTACTTACCTGTACTTCGGAATAACTTGCTCAGTGCTGTTCTGAGTGGTTCTGTATCTCTTTCAGATGCCGCTCACTTAATGTGGTTTGAAAGACTCTATGTTTGGCTTCAGTGTTTTGAAAAATATATTTTGTACCCAGCAATAATCTTGAATGCCCTCACCATCGACGCATTTTCCATAAGCAACCACCGGAGACTTGGCACCCAGTAAGTGGACAATGGTTTGTTCTCCTCACAGTTTGGATCTCAGACTTCAGAAATCTAGAGCACTTCCCAAACAGGCTGCAGACGGATCCGGCATATACCGGCTGTGTAAAAGTGAACCTCGGAGGTCTTGGGCCCAAGCTCGCGGGAGCTGCATGGTTATCGTAGGGTAACTGGGGTGCGAATGAAGTTGGAACTGCTCGAAGTAATGTTGTGAATAAATGTCAGTAATGTGAAAACCATCCTGGAGAGCTTAGTCAGTGAGCCTTAACGATGACGGGAGCCCAGCGTGAGTCCAGGCTCCTGGAGCTCTCGCCATCCTGCTTAGCGCGTCGTGAGCTGCCTCGTGCCATTTCATTTAGCAAATACTCTATCATTTTGTGCTTGTGGGAGGGTGGCATTAACCAGTCACTGCTCCCTCTGCATTTACCAAGCGGAGCGTCATCATGTGAAAGCTGGAGCGCAGAGGCTCCGCGGTGTCAGGATGCCCGTGTTTCCGTAAAGCATTAACGACGCAGCTGAGTTGTTGGCTTCCTATATTAACATCAGTGCTAAATTTACAAATGCAAATCGATGTAATAACTTGTGGGTTTGTCATTCCGACAAAAGGTGAAATTTGCTGGTCAAATCCGTGGTCAGGGGAGGAGGATGCAGATGATCTTCCCAGATTGGCTTATCAGTCACGTTGCTTAAACAGTATGTGTGCGGATCAACCCTGATGCGTAATCCCCAGCATCCTAGTTCAGACCTGCTCTTCCTGTCGGGGTGTGATGAGGGCACGCTAATGAATGTTTGCCAAACACTGGGCGAGCTTGAACTCCCTTGGACACTCTGTTGGGCTCGGGGTAGATTCAGTCTGGCGAAACCAGCACCAGTTGAAATGGTTCTGTAACTTCTCTGTTTTTGTTGAACTCTGTCTTCCAATCCAACCTGCTTTGGTCAGTCCAGGGCAAGAACTCTGTGTTTTGGTTCTTAAAGTCCTAGACTTTAAACCAGAGATGAAAATGTGTCTCCCTGGGTAGACGGAAGCAGAAGGGGGTCTGCAGACCCTTCTACAGCTCCTGTGGGGCTCAGCCTGGGCATCGTGTTCCCTGCACCATGTGGAATGGGGGTGACCTGACTCCCCCAGGACTGCCACCCAGGCCAGGGCAGATCCTCAGCTCTAGAAAGAGAATGCACAATCAAGCCAGAGTAGCGAAGAAGGCCATGGTGCTACCCTCGAGGACTGCACCAAGGGACCTGACGTTCCGTCCGACCGCAGGACGAGGACCTTGGGCCAGACCTGCAGGTGGAGGCCGAGGTGTTGGGAAGATGCTTGCAATGGCTGGACTTGGGCAGAACTGGCACGCAGCTCTGAGAGTCCATCTGCGGTACTTCCCGTTCCCTGTCATTTCTCCAGACTCGACAGTCATAAAGAAGCTACTGAGGCCTGCCCCGGTGCCCCAACTCCCAGGTGGTACTGTCGGGATCGTTTTTCCCAGAACCAAAGCTGGCCGTTCCTTTCTATTGCTGAGGTGTCCGTCTGAAGAACGAAGGAAAAAACCTCACAATTTAGGCCCACTGCAAGAGCAAAACAACAGGAAGTCGTGACTAGTGTCTCCTGGGAAACTTTTCCCAACTGGACAAGGCCATTGGCTGTCCCATGGGGATTTTGACCCATGGGCTGCTGTCGAAGGCAACAGAACCCGAAGTCACGGCTCCAGATGATGCTTTCAGGGCGCTCATTGTCCCCTAGCAGGGAGGCAGCCACGGCGTGATGTCGGCCGTCGTGCAGGATCACTGAGGGCTCTGCGTGCAGCGACAGGAAAGCTTTCCCACTCTGCCCAAGTCTGCGTGCAGCCAAGGGCCAGTCTCAGAAGTCCCACCCAAGCCTGTCACACAGGCCCTGGCAAACCTGACGCTCGAGCATCCGGGGTGGAACGTCACAGCCCTGGGTCTGGAGGCACCTAGACTGTCAGACTAGCACTTCCATGGAGCACACGGAATCGTCAACCTTAGATTTCTCTGACGGCAAAATCGACAGTCCTCATCTGACAGGTTCAAAGACTTGGGAAGTACTTTTTAGATGCCTTCAACTCGGGACAAGATATTGCTGTTGTCCGGGTTCTTCCAGGGTTATGGAAAGGGAGGTGTGCCCCCAGATTTCTGGACTTAGCCAGAGAAAGAAAGCCTCTGCTTCAAGTGCAAACGTTCTTTGGAAATATTCCCACCTCTGCCCTTGAGTTCCCAAGTAGCATGTTACAGTTTCAGGGGAATCTGACTGAAGTGCTGATGCCCTGTGGAGCTGCCTCTGTTACCATTCGCAGTACGAGCTCAAGACAGGCGGGCCTAGCTGTCCTGGACCTTACCACCTGGGGCAGTCACAGGGCCGTACTCCCTGCAGGGTGAACGCCTGGGCCCTTGGCAGGAGTCGCAGCAGTTCCGTTCTCCAAGCAGAGCAGCGTCCTAGTCCTAGAAGAATATTTCTTTGGCTGACTGCTTTGCAGGGTCCTCACCTGAAAAGGACTTTGCCCTGGAAAAAAAAAAAAAATGTTGGTGAGACCGTTTTAATGAGGAAAGGACAGAAGAAGCGGAGCTGAGAGCACAGATCAGTGTTCACCCGCATGACGAATATGTTAGAGCCATCCAAAGTTCATTTGTAAAAATCAAAGGGCTTTAGAGTGTGGTGGTCAAGGCATTGGACTCCCACGTGGTCGACCTGGTTCGAGTCCCAGACTTGGTGGGTTGACACTTACGCTGGGCATGTGTGTGTGTGTGCCCAAAATCCCAGGAGGAGAATGGAAGAGAAGGGATTGCGGGTGGCCGTCTGCCTGGGGGGTGGTCTCCCGCTTTTCCCTTCACTGTGTTTCTCCAGGGAGTACGTGCACCCTATGGCAAGCAAACAAAACCCTTAAATGAATACAGGGCTTTACTGAGCTGCTGGTTTTAGCCTCTGCCCAGAGCTCAGTATTAGCTGTTGTTATGTCCCTGTTTCAGTCCGATTCTCCTCACTGAGACAGCGCACACTGAGCAGACCTGACAGGGTGGCAAGTGTCTACTTCCCATCTGCACCGGGCTTCCCCCTCAAACCACTCACCTGCACCAGACTTCCTCCACCCCCTCACCTGCACCGGGCTTCCCCCCAGACCCCCCCCCACCTGCACCAGGCTTCCCCTGCACCCCCACACCTGCACCAGGCTTCTCCCACGCCCCCTGCACACCTGCACCAGGCTTCCCCCGCATCCCCACACCTGCACTGGGCTTCCCCTGCACCCCCCACACCTGCACCGGTCTTCCTCCGCACCCTACACACACCTGCACTGGGTTTCCTCCACACACCCCCACACCTGCACGGGGCTTCCCCCACCCACCCGCCTGCACTGGGCTTCCCCCTCAAACCACTCACCTGCACCGGGCTTCCCCCACACCCACCACACACCTGCATCGGGCTTCCCCCGCACCCTCCCCCACACCTGCACGGGCCTTTCCCCGCCCCGCTATCTGCTCCGGGCTTTCCTGCCTCCTCCCTGGGGACCACATCACCCTGTACCGGTGCTCACTGAAGCTGCGTCCTTGCTGGAAGACACAGGGACTAGGAAAGGCTGATGGAAAGGTGAAGGTGATGTGGTCAAGGAACCCAGATCTCCGTTTCCACCCAAGCCCCCTCCCCCAGGACACCTTAGACAGGTTGCTCGAACTCTCTGAGACCCAGTTTCTCCTCTGAAAAGTGTAGACCGTACCTGGGCCCGCCATACTGGCTTTTTTTGCCCGTGAAGTGCGTAATGCCCAGTCAATGCTCAGGAAATCTCAGCTACTCTCTGACCTGGCTCTCGCTGTCACTGTCTCCTTTCCTTCTGACAGCTGGGACATCTTTCTGATGATCACGGCCGGCATGAAACTGTTGCGGACTTCCTTCTGTAACCCGGTGCACCAGTTCATAAACTTGAGCTTCACCGTCCTCTTCTTCCACTTCGACTACAGAGATGTCTCCGAGGGCTTCCTGCTGGACTTCTTCGTGGTGTCCATTCTATTTAGCAAGGCAAGTTCATTGGCCGCGTTCCTCATCTTAGCATGTGAGAGGGACATTTCTCACCACGTCTTAAGAAATGTTTGCGGAAATGTTTCTTTACAGAAATGTTATAGAAGGAAATGAACTTGAATTACATGTGCCTTCCCCCTGCTGCCGCTCGGGGGAACTTCGCCACGGAATGGCGTGTGCTGTGTGATTTGCTGGAAGTCATTTGACAGAGTGACCTGCTGCGGCTTGAAGTGTGTCTGTTAGCATTCTCATCTTCTAACTTCCCGGGGTCTTAAAGTGCTCTGAGTTAACTGAAAGATTAGCCACCGACCACCCTCCTCTCCCCCGCTTTCTTTCCCCTCTTCCCCACCCCTTCCCTTAGTGTGTCTTGGTTAGGATTGGATCAGTTGTAACTTTGCACCGTGGGCAAGAGAAACCCTCATTAGGATTCAGGCAGATGCGTGGGGGCTGCCTCTGTATTTGACATGAAGTAGGTGAAATCTTGGGGACCCCTGGGAGTTCCTGCAGGACCATGTGGTCTGGCCGCTGTGGCAAAGCCCACGGTTTGCATTCGGCGGGGGGGG